GGGGAGAAAAAATCCCAATGTGATTTTGATCGGAAATGTTGCATTTATTAATAAAACATTCTAGCTTCTATATATGAGACACCATTTCCGCATTCTCAAAATTGCGTTACTTTTTCATATCATACAGAATAAGTCTGAGAAGAAATATTCATGCTATGATAATGCATACATGTATTTAACAGTTAAAAATCTAAACTAAATCTATTCTTCTTGGAACCATATCTACAACTCTTTAACGAGATTTTACAAAATTAATCAAGTTCCTCCAGTATATCGTCATTCGAGACGTACTTACTCATTTTCAGCTTCGAGCATGTAACGCCCCTGCGACGTACCGGCGACGATGCCGGTGGTAGCTTAAAACGTGAATTATGTGAATATTTGTTCGCCGATTGCCTCCAGTGCCTCAATTACATCGGCGGTAGGCCGGGAAAGATGACTTGAGTTCAACTTTCCCGGTATTTCGGCGGCAAGTTGAGGCATAATGATACAGTCGCAGGCATACCGCAGGCATATGTGAACCAGGCTAAAGTCTTGTCTTCTGTGATATTTGCCCCATGGGCATGGCCGTGAAAACAGGCGAGTTTACTGCAGTGGCAACGAAATTCAAGTCAGCGTTTTAGGCAGAAAGAGCAATGTAAAACTGTAAAATAAGTTCACTGGGCAACTTTTCTAGCTTATCTTTTTTCGTTCTCGAGATATGTAAATTAAATAAATTTATGGCATTATGCAAGGGGAGTAAAATATTAGTATAGTCTGGTACTGATATACTAGTATATAAGGTAGTATAGTGTCGTCAAAGGTTAAAAATGATGAAATATTTCAGACCATATACAGCTAATTCAAAAAAGGTTTTCCTTTGAAAAACCTTAAATTCTAAACCTTAAATCTTAAATTCTAAGCGTGCAAAGCATAACGGGAACAGTTATGCTTAATCAGTTTAGAAAGCAGTATGGGGCCCACTTCTTAGAGGTATGGTTCTCAGTTACGAGAACAATTTATTCATAAATAGCTGCAATATTCAACTACTATAAGCTTGAAACTTGCATGTGCTCCCATTAAGCTTTACGCGCTTAGAGTTTAAGGTTTAAGGTTTAGAGTTTAATTGAGGTTTTTCAAAGGACAACCTTCTTTGAATTGGCTGTACGTTGTTGATTCTTTTCACCAACATTATGCAGAAAGTCATGCAGCAAGCATGAGCTCTTGGTTTATAAAGTTGGTTTAGTTAAAGCTTCCTCGTGTAGCTGGTAACGCACTCGACCAATGAAAGATAGCCCTTACTGGACCTTTATAGGGAGAAGAGTTTAAAACTAACAATATACAGGCTAAAGTTTCCTATATCTTCTGTACTTACGTTGTAAAAGGCTTGATTAATTAACTATTTTTTTATAATAAACGCCTGAAGTATTTTGTTTTTAATTTTCTTTGTTCAGAGAAAGGGCGGCAAAACCTTTCAATTTCTACATGTGCAGACAGAATGTCTGTACTCTCCCACAAGCTTGTAATAACGGCTGAAGTACTTTGTTTTTAATTTTCTTTGTTCAGAGAAAGGGCGGCAAAACCTTTCAATTCATACAGACAGCATGTCTGTACTCCCCCACAAGCTTGCAATAATGGTTAGTTATAGCTACGTGCAGTATTGAAATTCTTCAAGAGAGATATTGTGTTCTATTTGGGTTTGCAACTTGCGAGGCGCCCAACAAGATTAGAATATATGGAGCTTCGGTGGCCAAGTGGTTAGCGTACTTGCCTTTCACCTCTGAGGCCGCAGGTTCAGGCCTCAGTGAGAACTTTCTCAACGCGACTCGAACCCAGTCCTCATGTGAAAAGAGTAAAAAGTCAACGCTCTGCCGAAAGTCGTGGGTTTTCCCGGGTACTCCGGTTTCCTAGTCCCACAGGAAAAGTTGACAGGGTGGGTTAGGTAAAAAGGGCCCACTGTAATTGGCATATGCTGTTGTGGTGTCCCTGCCCTAGTTGGCAAAGTTAAATAAAAGAATGTATTATTGTTATTCTATAAATGATGAATTTCACAGCCATCTTCTCTTTGATTGACTATGGACTGACGTATGCGGCAATCAATAATAACTAAATATAAGCGAATAAGTACGGGAAAAACACACTAAACAAAGTATACATCGTTCAAACCCATATCCTCTTCCGCAGGCAACTCATGTGTACTGCAGCGGCGGCGGAACAGATGTCGTTCTGGGGGGGCTAAATTTTTTTGGCGACGAGGGGGGGGAGGTCTGTATAGTGTACCACTTTAGGGGTACAATATACAAAAAAAGGGACGAAAAAAATTTTTTCGGACTTATATAAAAAAATTTTTTCGGAAATACACTTTTTTTAAACAAAATATTGCAAATTTGTCCCCTTATACCTAAATTTTGAAAAAATAACCTAAATTTTTCCCTAATTATCAAAATTTTTTCCAAAAATTCAAATTTTCTGGGGGGGCTAAGCCCCCCCACTTTTACTTCTGGGGGGGCTTTAGCCCCCCTAGCCCCCCCCCTGTTCCACCGCCCCTGGTGTACTAAGCAGGCCAGCTCAAGCCTTCATGTCCTTTTTACACACGTACAGTACGAGGCACACACTGTTAGTCAATAACTTTATGTTAGTATCGACCGTATTTATGTTAGTATCGACCGTATTCGATGTAAACTTAACGCTTGTTATGTACTTGGTCTATGTCACGTGACTGTTCTTGTCATAGGAGTTAATTGTCTTGTTGTATAAACCACAGGCACAGGCGTCCCAATCTCGCAAGGGTCAGTATAGACTTATAGTATAAATGTATATTATACTAGAAGTTACTATCGCAAGGGAAGTGCTGCCTCAACACCAAAGTCCTGGGGGTTGATTATACCAATAAACTTCATTTACTTAAATTGCCTTATACACAGGGTATGTATGAATTTATTTTGTTTAAGAAATATCGAAATTACAACATGCAATAATTACTATATATACTATAAAGTGTAGTTCGGATTTCCATATTTAAATGTATGCTTGTGATTGTTGGTACCAATGTTTTAAACAATCTTCACTTGTCAAAACGTCTAGAAGAACACAATGAGGAATATACACGATATGTCTTTTAACATGATATGACCAGTTTGTTGCAAGTTTTGATATTCTTTCTTTCCAAGGTAATGATAGTCCATACTGTATTTTCCATTTTGTAAACAAGTCTTATACTATTCGTTTTTTGTCCAATATATAAATATTTCGTATTTATTTAGCATGTACAGGTAGTATCCATTGTTGGCCATCATTATTGTCCAATAGCTTGTTAGGTTACTGTACATATAAAGGTATGTAATATCTTGGCATACAATGTTTCTGACATCCATATGGTAGATTGGAAACAAGTACAGCAAAATTCAGATTCCATCAGATTCCATCCCATTGCATTAGATGTAATATACAGTATCCATACAAACTTGTAAATCAGCATTCTTGTTTTAATAGAAATACATTTCTGTTAATCCAGAAGCTCCCATCCATTTTCATGCAATGTAATATATCCATATTATATTTTGACTTGACAACCATTTGGTTTCATACAGCAGTTAACATGGCACCATTCACATCCGTCAGAATTGCAAAACTATAGAAAAAATAATTGCCAGCATGAGATATTTACTTAGAAACATGGTAGCACATAAATGAATGAAAATAAAAGTAGGGCAGGGGGAGGGGTTTAATTAACAAACAAAATACTTACCATTATTTCAACTTTCAAATCATAATATTTTCATACATACAGTGATAACAATGAGTAAATTAGTTATTAAATAATAAATTACATTATTTAAAAGGGTATATAGTCAAACTACATACCAAAATATAACTGGGACCCATATATGAAATCCCACTCTTATTCAACCTCAATAGTTTGTTGTTCTAAATGCACTGCTAGTAGCCTGTGCTAACTGATCTAGCCTGTTTTCTTCTTCAAGCCTATATTGTAAGTTAGCTGATGATTTCAAGTTTGATAATCGTTCATACGTCATTGGTTCAATGACACAAGATGCAAGTGATTTTACTCTACTAATAGCAACATAGGAAACTCCAGCAGTTCTTTCAGATTTGCCAATATCTATCCATGCTTTTGGAAGCGTAAGTCCTTGGCTCTTGTGTATTGTTAGAGCCCAAGCAAGCCTAAGAGGTAACTGCTGTCTCTCATGGGAACCTATTTCTGTCTGTGATGTGACAGTGATTGGATATATTGGGATACACAATGGTTGGTTTTCATTAAAAACAGGTCCTCTATAGTTTTCAAATTCTACTATTACCGCAATAGGTAAGTCAGGTGGTTGATGGTTGTTCTGATAGATAATATCAACAACTGTTCCAGTAGCCCCATTGCAGAGGCCAACACTTGACCACAAATTCATGGTTAACATGACCCTAGCACCTTTTGCTAGAAACACAACGGGTTCTAACCCAGACATATCATCTGAGGATATCTTTTTGGCCAATGCAGATGAATGGCGTGCATTAATATGAGCAATTGGATGCTCAAGTTTTGTTAGCTGCTCATGGTTGTAATTACCAACTTGTTCATTACTATAAAAGAGTCTAGTAGAATCTTCAAAGTCACATAAATTAGTGACATTCGATGGTTGACGTGTCAGAAGTAACTTCCAGTCATCAACTGTTGAGTTGCCTTTGCGAAGTCGTAATAACAAATCTCTGAACTGTACTTGCTCAGATGTCATACCTTGCACGCGTTGATTTACAGTGAGTTTAACAACTTTGTCAAACATATGATATGCTTGATGACCTTGTTCACCAACAGCGTTTGATGGTCTAGCATGGTAAAGAGGTTTATCTGCTACTGGTGGCAATTGACCTGGTTCACCAGTTAAAATCAATGATTTTCCTCCAAAAACTTTGTCATTATAACCAGTTGCTTGTTTGCAACGCTTGTCTATCCAACCAAAAGTAACTTGGCCAAACATGGAGTATTCATCAATAATGATGTATCCAATGTTATTAACACTCTCTTGTAACCTACACAAGCTTTGTCCTGTTAGGTCTTTTTTACCTCTTGATCCTATAGGTAACTTTAATAGAGAATGCACAGTTACACCTCTAATGTTATAAGCTGCTTTACCTGTGGTAGCACAACAGCACATTTACTTTGCAAAAGATTTCTAATAGCATTAATAAGGTAACTTTTACCGGTTCCTGCAACACCATTTATAATGAGACATAATGGCTCTTTCTCAGATGATATATCATCAAAATGAAACTTAACAATATCATAAGCAAGTTTTTGCATTTCACTAAAACTGTTGATGTCAACAACATCATATTGCTCATCAATAGTGTATTCCTCTTTGTTTGTTTTTATCCATGTTGGCATTTCTTGGATTTGTTGTTGAGAATAATTGGCTCTGTCAAGATGCCAGTCATATGTGGACTCTGGTGTTTGTTCAGAGTTGTCAAAAGGAGTGTTGAGGTCTGATAATATCATCCACTCTTCTCGAGTTGTCTCCTGTTCTTCAGAAGGTTCATCTTCTGATTCTTGAGTTTGAATGACAGCTTGTAATTTATCAAACCAGTCTGGAACATTAGACTGCCCATAAGGTGTTTGTAAAAATTCATGCCAACAATTGATCAGAACCTCGTCAGTTGGTTCTTGGTCACCCCATGCATTATTTTGGGTTGTTCTCCACGGTTTATACCTCAAAAGTTGATATTTACAATATAGGCCAAAATTTGGACCTTTGGGATTAGGAGAATATGTTGGAAATATTCGTGGTATAATATTCTCTGGCAATTTTGTCAATTCATTGTTAACAACTTTGTATGTTGTAGCAAATTCAACAAAGTTCATATTTATTATATTTTGCGAACTCTCATATTGTTCACGATTAGCATACACATCAAGAAGTGAATAATCGGTGCACGATTCACCCTCATCAATACTTGCACTATCACGCACTCTACGTGAACCATTTAGACTAACTGACATCACTTTAAAGGATGAGCTGTGGAGTTTTAAAGACAATATGGTCTCTTGAGCTGCATAATCTCTTTCACCAAGAGATTTCATAACTACCTTCTTAATAACTCTACGAGGGTCAGTATTACTGTCGACATTTTGCACAATAGAATTGAATGCCTGTTTCAATATAGGTGATCTTGGTTCACCTTTAGCTGCATATTTTGTGAGATATTCAACACAAGCATAGTGATCAATAACAACTTGAATATCACAGTTAGCTCTCCATCCTTGGAGCTGAAGTTGTTGGTGGTTATTTAATCTAGAGTCATTTCGTTTAGTCACAATCTTAGCTCGATAATGCTCATTATCACCTGAAGTATGAATTTTTTCAAATTCTAATTTTGTCTTAGGACAAATATCAAAAGGGAAATGAAATCTACATTTCAACTCTGTTTCATTTGACTTCTTTCTAAGACAATAACTTGTACTGCAACGAGTATGTCGTTGAACCATGTTTAATAGATCTACATAATCTGATTGTTTTTCATGTTCAGGAATGTCATGACTTCTTTGACATGGATGAACCCCAGGTCTTATCCACGTGTCCTCATCTGGTGGATTAGGATTGACGGTTGATAATAACCAATCAACATACTGACATACTGTGTCAGCTGCTTTCTGCCCAGCTTCAATATCCTGGTCTAGTTCAGTTGTGTCAGAACAATCATTTTCATCTTTAAATTTTTGAGCTAAGAAACCTTTCAAAGCAGTCTGAGTAAGTTGACACAAACCTGGGTCATTATTTAGTTTAGCAGTACCATGACAGTGGATACTACCTCTACCTTGGTATTCCTATCGAAACCAGTGCCATTTTGCACCAAGTGTATCATAAAGCCAGTGTTTTACAAAGCTTTCTAATCTTTGGGTGAAAAACCAATCTACAACATGGGGATTGTTGATCACATTTTGTCGTCTTACATCACTGGTAGAGTTACCTAACTCATTGTCAGTATCAGTTTTAAATAAAGAATGTAACTCAGGCCAATGCATGTCTGCAGAAGAGAAAGTGAAAAATAATGTTGGTGCTCCAACACTAGTTATGATAGCTTTGAGTTCCTCTCTTACTCTATTCCAGTAAGCATTAGTACCTGCAATATTGCCAACATATCTCGACACTTTTGACATAAATACACTAGCATTGTTACTGACAGCCATTTCACGCAGTTCATCTATTGTGAGATGAGCTTCTCCTGGGTTCTGTTTGAGGAATATTCCACTTTGTTGTAAAATTCGTTTTCTTTGAATCATGTTAAAAGCCCAATAAGAAAATCTGGGGTGGTTAGCAAAACGGTATACCCATTTACCATCAATAATTTCAGCAAATTTTAGAAGATGCTTTATTCGTTCCTGAAGAGGGACATCTCTCAGAAGTCCTTGATTAGTAGGATCACCTTTCCCATCTGGAAATAATGTCGGGAAAGCCATTGTGGCCAGATGTGATATCTGATACTCATTTATTGGCTCATTTTCAACCGAGGGCCATGGCATTGGCTCATTTTCAGACAGCTGATTTCTAACAGCTTCAATTTCCGTTTGTTGTTGTTCACCAACAGGTAAAAAACTACTAATTTCAGTAGAGTCATTATAAACAATATCCTCTGATGGATTATCAGTAGGAGGACCTACATCAGGAGAACAATTGTCATCTGAGACTATATCATCATCAGTCTCAACAGTCATGAGACCTGGTGGTACACCATTTTCAGGTAAGGAATTTAATGCATCTTGATTAATTAATAACTCAGAATAATGAGGATTATTATTGATAAGCCAAACTAAAGCATTGTGCACTTTTTGCTTTCGCACAGTCACATCTCTGAATGTGTTTCCTCTACCTTTAGCCTTGACAATAATCACAGCTAAGTCTTTAGGATATCTTGGCAAAGACATTGCAAGTTCTTTGACATTTTGTGGCAGGTTAATACAATGCCCCAAAAAACCTCGTTGACCACCAGGTTTAATATACACTCACATGATGGGCAAAGCACGAGCAATCAACATTTCCTCAATCTGTGTTAAATTTTTCAGTTCATGTGGAACACATGAAGGTATCATTAAATTTTCACAAGAAAATTTTTTTGGAGATTTTTTATCTCTAAAGCATCGTGAACACACATAAGGTGTCCTTGGTTTAGATTTTAAGGGCCATGCCTCCTGACATTCTGTACACTGACTGACAATGTATTGCACAGACTTACTAAAATTATTAATGTTAGCCTTAGCCCAACATTGTTCTTCAATACCACCATTTTTGGTTCTGTCAAACATATTTAAATAGTCCTGTTGATTTAATATTTCATGTTGAGGCTGTGACACTTTTTTTGCCCGCTTTTGTTTTTTATTAAGTCTATCTTTCTCAAGCCTCACTTGTCTGCTGGTGTCAGTTTCCTCTGCCCGCTTTCTTTTTTTAGACTCACTATCCTTTTGAAGTCTAATTTGTCTGTTGGTGTCAGTTTCCTCTGACTGCTTTGTTTTTTTAGACTCACAATCCTTTCGAAGTCTAATTTGTCTGTTGGTGTCAGTTTCCTCTGACCGCTTTGTTTTTTTAGACTCACACAATCCTTTTGAAGTCTAATTTGTTTTTCACTGTCAGTTTCCTCTGAACGTTTCTGTTTAATAAACTCACTTAATTTTTAATTTGAAGTCTTATTTGCCATTCACTGTCAGTTTCCTCTGAACGTTTCTGTTCAATAGACTCACTTAATTTTTGAAGTCTTATTTGCCGCACACTATCAGTTTCCTCCGACTGCTTTCTTTTTTTATACTCACTAGCTTTCTTCAGTCTAGCTTGTTTATCACCTTCATTTTCTATTAAAAGCCTCTTTTTCAGGACATACTCTTGATCCTTTACACACTTACTTTTTTGCTCTGAAGCTTTACATATATTTAATTGCACAGGTACAATTTCAAATAAATTGGCATGCAATGTCACTGAAACAGAATACAAATATTGTTCTAATTCTAGAATATTAGCAAATTTCATGACAACAGCAGTGCCATTAGGATCAGGCATGCCATTAGAGTCTCTGGCATGGGAGTCAAATAGAAAAAATCTGCTTGCTTCATCAATGCCATCATATAGCCTTCTATTAAAATAGTACAACTATAATTTGAAAACACATTCAAAAGTGCTGTGTGAATGTCATAGTAGTGTGACTCAATTTCTCGGTTGGTTATAACAAGACCTTGAAGCTCTTTTCCATAATTTATAAACCAAATTTGGTTTTTATTGTTTTCCTCATTAGGCACCACAGAATTGTGCTCTACACCAATAGATAGATCAGTGTTACCCCTTGCCACAATGGGCAGATCAGTGATACTTTTTGCCTCAACAGGCTCTACCACAATGGGTAGTTCAATGTTATTTTGTGCCTCAACGGGCTCTAGCACAATGGGTGGACTGTTATTATTTTGTCGTACCACCACGGGTAAACTGTTACTGTTTTGTCCTACCATCACAGGTGGACTGTTATTATTTTGTCTTACCACCACGGGTAGACTGTTACTGTTTTGTCCTACCATCACAGGTGGACTGTTATTATTTTGTCTTACCACCACGGGTAGACTGTTACTGTTTTGTCCTACCATCACAGGTGGACTGTTATTATTTTGTCTTACCACCACGGGTAGACTGTTACTGTTTTGTCCTACCATCACAGGTGGACTGTTATTATTTTGTCTTACCACCACGGGTAGACTGTTACTGTTTTGTCCTACCATCATAGGTGGACTGTTATGATTTTGTTGTACCACCATGGGTACACTTTTACTGTTTTGTCCTACCACCATGGGTAGTTCAACGTTAATTTGTGTATCAAAGGGATTCATAGGTGTTGTAGTTGTTTTCGCATGCACTACAGATGATATATTAGGGAGTGTTCATTATTTATACCCGGGGTTGGTACCGAAGAGAAATGGGTTGGGTAAGACATTTTTCTGGGGTATGAAGGGTTGGGTAAATATTTGTTGAACAAAGCCTATGGTTGGGTAAATTATTTTCAATACAAACCTTCAATTGAACAAAATATGAAAATCCTTTATTTAACAAAATGGGTCATTCCAGGAAATATCCATTCATTCCCCACAAAGAAAACTAAATTCCAACTCCCCATCCCCTCTGATTACAACAACACGATATCAGGAACTTGGAGGCTTGGGAACATAATATGAACTTGTGAAGGTACAAATGATTATATTTGACATTCAGTGCATGCACCAAATATGTATAGTACTGTTTATACTATACTTAGTGGCCTAGCTTGTATAATAATATATATGTATATATGTAAAATACTTGTATAATTTTGAAATTGGGTTGGGTAAAATAAAAATCCAAGTCATGCAATAGTTGGGTAGGGGAAAAAATGGTTGATCGATAGGGTGGGTGGTTGTTTTTTTTCTCTTTTCGATTAGTTTCTCTTCGGTACCAACCCCGGGTATAAATAATGAACACTCCCTTACTTGTGTCGATGACAGAATCGCATATCTCGTAAGAAAACATGTTCGTACAACTTGAAACACTGACAACTTTAGGTAAGTTATCTACAGATAGGAATTCGACACCAGGTTCTAAGACAACAAAGCCATTATCCACAGCTTGCAAATACATTTTGTCTCCTTGTAATAAGACATTATTCAATGTTGTTTTCGACCAATCGATCACTGGGATACTTTGGGCAGTTAAAATTGCAGATAAACTCATAAAAGCACATTGTTTGCCTCTAGATTGAACACTAAAAAGGTCATCGGCTAGATGTATTTCAGAAGAAAGAAATAGAGCCATACTTACCTAAATTTTTCCGAAAATTTTCGATAACTTGCATCCGTATAAAAAGCCTGTATGAAACCAATTGTAAAATCTTGATTCTTGAGCACATGGAGTTGCGTGCGCAATACAAAATCTTGTTTCTGACCGCTCCCCTCATTTAACAAACGTTCTCGAGGCTTAATTATTCCCCCCGGATTACGACATCTTTACATACAGACAGACAGACACAAGATCGAGATCTCGACAATACATAGATCGCGCGAAAGACTGGGTCGAGTGGACTCTGGAGAAACACCGCGTAGTCAAGAATAGTGTGCTGCCTCTACGAGGCAGCAATAACCATGGCTCCGAAGAACAATATTACAACCGATAAAGTGGAAAATCCAGCCAGCTCTCAGGATGTCGATGTGGACCCAAACAACACAAATATACCATCTGGATCAGGCATTGATGAGACTGCAGAATCTGTACCACCAGGGGATGCAGAACCCACTGTTACATTGGAATTATCACCTGACAACCAAGCTGCCGCAACTAATTTTCCCTCTTATGCTGCACCCTCACCCAGTCCAACTTCCATAAAATTGAGAACAGAGAGAGCACCGCTTCCTAAATTTGATGGAAATGTTCGAAATTATCTGGACTTTCGTAGAAATTTCAAATTTTTGGTGGAAAAGCAATACACAACTCAGGAAGCCCTTTATGTTATTCGTAGCTGCCTGGACAAAAGCAGTGCCGACCTGATAAAATGCAAGGAGGACTACGATGCTGCATGGGAAAAATTAGACAAGAGTATGGCGACCCGAGAATTGTTTCTGATGTCCTGCTGTCTGACTTGGAGAAAGTAAAACCAGGATATGGATGGATGGATGGATGGATGGATGGAGAAGGAAGTACGAAAGAGAAAGATTGCTGGAGCCGATATTCGTTCCCAGAGAACAATTTCTCGAAGCGCTGACAACAAAGGCTCAGTAAATACCATCACATTGAAAGGTGAGAAGGATTCCAGCATGGGTACTAGCACGGGTTTCAGCACCGACAAACTCGATTCAAGGACTGAGAATCCAGGTGAAGTATTAGGTGAGGGCAACCAATCACCACCACAACCACCACCACCACCACCACAACCAACGTTTCAGCATTGTTGGTTATGCAAACAGCCCCACCAGTTGGACACATGCCAAATGTTTCTGAGTATGACCCCTACTGTTCGTCTCACAGAGGTGAGGAAAGCTCATGCATCTTACGTGTTTAAAAATTCATCGCAACCCATGTAGAAAAAAGAAAAAGTGCACGTTGTTAAGAGATGGTGAAGCATGCAAGTTCAGTCATCACCCTTGCTCCATGGAGCGCCATTTGAGCGAATGTCCAATAACAATGTATCTGTCATTGCGGGAGGAAAAAGCGGGCTGCCCCAACCTTGGAAGTCAGTGCAATAAATTCTGTATCTAAACAGAAATCTAAAGCAAATATCCTGTTTGATGGAGGAGGGGGTCCCAATCCCATTTCCCACCTGAAATTTTGGCAAAATCCCAGTCCCAGTTGGATTTTTATTAGAAATCCCAGTCCGAGTTATTGAAATCCCAGTCAATAAAAAACCCTTTATTAATTGGTAGAATAAACAGTTTTAAGACCCTTTAAGCCACCGTGTGTGCAAGTGGCGGACACTTTATGAAATATTGGGGGGGGGGACACAGAAAATTTTTGAATTTAAATCCCGGAAATGGCATTTGCAGCATTCTGAGACACGCATAATCAGAATACCCAGAATTCCGGGCGCCAGAGTATGCCTGTTCGCAGGTAGTGCTGTGGATAATATAGTTAACAACAAAAATCATGACCATGCAAAGACACCAAAAACGGATCAAAATTGTATTTTAAAATACTTAAAACGTAGAAAAATTGGGAATCGACTCGCATTACCTGAGATTGAAATTTATTTTATTGCGCCACATTTAAACTTTTTATAAATTCGTTTTGTAATCATTTTTATAAACATTAATTAAGCTGTAAAAAGTATCATTTGTAAATAAGTATTGAAAAGCCCTGCGGGGAATACTTCCAATAATAATAATAATCCAATTCCCATTTTTGAGAACTTCATTTCCCATTCCCAGTGGCCGTATCCCAGTCCCAGCAACCCAAATCCCATTTTCCCAGTCTAAAAATAGATCAATCCCAGTTCCCATTTTACCCTTTCAGGACCCTCTTGATGGGGGATCTCAATTAACTTTTAATCAGAGAACAATTTGCCCAAAACCTAGGATTGCATGGTGAGAGCATTGGCGTCCACCCGGCGTATAAGTAAAGTTGGGGGGACCGAACAGTTGCTGCAAACTAAGATCTACACTCTCCAGATTCGTTCCCTCTCCAGATGGTGGCCCGAAATCCGTGTTGAAATTTGAAAGCCGCAGCTATTCCTCTGATAAGTGAAAACGTCAGGGCGGTTCGTATTGAGAAGTATGCAAAGTTGTTCAAGATTGACACCAAGCGACTTCACCGGGGTTCTGGGGCAGTAGACATCCTCATCGGCATCGACCATGCTCCACTTCACGGTGGCAACACGCTAGTCAATGGAAATTTTGCTGTGTGGCAATCCCCCGTAGGGGCGGTAGTTTCTGGAGCCGGTCCCGATGGTTTATGTTCAGTAAACCGCATGCATCTTGTTCGACTTAATGACCCAGTTGATCTAACTTCTTTCTGGTCCACTGAGCAATTGGGGGTAGAAGTGAACCCTTGCTACACAAAGAGAACACCAGGGGGGAAACTGCTTAGCTCTATCGAGAAGGAAGCTAGAGGCGAAGATTATTCGCGACAGTGAATGTAAAGGTCGGACAACAATGGATGATCCCTATACCATGGGCAAAGGATCCAAATGAACTTCCAAACAACTATAGACAAGCTTTGGCTAAATTGGAAAGTATTGAAAAGCGGCTCTTAAAAAACAAGGATTAAAATGCAAAAATGTACGATGATCAAATATTGGAAATGGAAAAACAGGGCCACGCAAAGAAGCTCACGCAAAGGGACATGGAACAACATAATGGTCCAGTACATTACATCAGCCATCACGCCGTTATCAAACCAGAAAAGAAGTCTACCCCTTGCTGCCGCGAAATACCATGGTCATG